GCAGCGAGGGGACGGGCACTCAGGCCCGGCACCGCTTACAAGTTAAGCGCCCCCCGGGCTCCCGCTCCGTCTAGCGGCACGCGAGGACAGGCCCGGAGCACAGCCCGAGGTCTGGTTCGGGTCACGAAGCTAAGGAGGAGCCAGGACCGGGACTCGGAGAGCCCGCGGGCACCAGCCCCGCGATGTTCTGGGGGAGGGAGCTCTGCAGCGAGGCGCCCGGAGCGGGACTGTGTGCAGCGCTCACCGGGGGGTGGGCAACGGCTCCACGTCTTCGCTAGTGGTGACCTTGGGCGTTTGTTTTGCCTGTAAAGTGGGCGCCACTAGAGTACACAGGACTGGGGGTGGGTAGGGGCTGGGGGATGGGAGACATCTGTGACAGTATCAATAAAACTAAGTGAAAAAGGATGCACGGGAGGAGGAAGGGCGGGGCCGAGCAAGTGCAGGCGCACGGGAAGCTCCGGTCCAGCCCAGGCCTCTGCCACCGCCTCCTCTTTCCCAGGGGACCCCGCCCGCCCAGCCCCCGAGCGCTCCCAGGCTGCTGGGTGTGTGAGAGCCGGGGCTGGGGACACACCTTGGGGTGGTCACCGCTGCCCTGCATGTCAAATATGAGAAAACGAGGGCCTGGGAGGGGAAGGGCTTGGCCAGGGGACTCCGTGGGTGGGACAGGGTGTAAGATGCTAAGCCGCCCTCCTGGCTGCTCTTGTCCTGGGTCCAGCGGCCTGGGGTGGAGCTGGCCAGGGCCCGTAATCCGAGGCTGCTTCTTTCTTCCAGGTGTTAACTGTCTTGCCTATGATGAAGCCATCATGGCTCAGCAGGACCGAATTCAGCAAGAGGTGAGGGGCTGAGGGGCTGTGGCCAGTGGCCCTGTTATGGGGACGCATCGGCTGGGTCTGAGGCCTGTTGCTTTTCTCTGCTTTGGAAGCCCTTTCCTCTCCAAGCTGCGCTAGATCCTGGGTGCCTTCAGGCCCGGGGGGGGGGGTGTCTGTCACTGCTGCTGGGTAACTGGCCCGGCGCGGCGCCTTCCTTTAGGTGTAGGTGCTCTGGCTGCCGCCTGCCAGAGCGTGACGGTTCCCTGCCCTCTGCAGATTGCTGTGCAGAACCCCCTGGTCTCGGAGCGGCTGGAGCTCTCGGTCCTGTACAAGGAGTACGCTGAGGACGACAATATCTACCAACAGAAGATCAAGGTGGGAGCCCAGCTGTGCGGGCAGGAGGCTTGGGGGTGGGAGCAGGAGCAGGAGCAGGAGCAGGAGCAGGCGCAGGCCTACGTCAGACACGCTCCTTGCTGGGCCTGGCCTCTTAGAGGGTAGAGTGTTGGGGGAGCTCTGGCTGCTGGAATCAAAGGACCTGGATTTAAATTGTGAGTTTGCCACACAGCAGCTGTGTCCTTGGCAGCCCCTTTCCTGCCTCTGACCTCTGGCTTCCTGTGAGTTGGGCTGAAGACAGTATGGGCCCACGGTGTTGAGGGCAGTGTGAGGGTGAGAGAGAGGCTTGTGGGGCGTTATGGTCTCAGTGCTCACAGTGGGGCCGAGTGGACTGGGGGTGGAGACTGCAGACCTTTGTGCCAGGCTCTGCTGCTTCGTTTACAAACAGGTAAGTCCCTTAACCACTCACTCTGTGAGCTGGGAGGTCAAGATGTGGCAGTGGGTCTTTGTGAACAGTGACCATTGACACAGCCTGGGGTTTAGTAAGTGCTACTCCTCCCACCTCCCCCTAAAGATCAGAGATGCTTAGAACCTTCTGTCAGAGAGGAGGGGTCTTTGGGGCTCTCCATGTCAGAGCCACGCTGGTAACCCAGGTGATTGAAGGTGGTCGGGTCAAGCGGTGAATATGGGCAGCGCAGCTCTGAGTCAGACGGGCAGGGAGTGGAAGCACCTGGCCAGTGGGAGTGACCGTGGCTGTCACTCCGTTGTTGCCAGATCTGTTTTCCCAAGAGAAGCCGGAAATTATTTTGATATGAAATCTCCAGGTTCCTGACAGTTGGCAGGTAGTTCACATTAAAAATGTTATGTGGATTGCCCTAGCTCAGTGATGGCGAACCTTTTGAGCTCGGTGTGTCAGCATTTTGAAAAACCCTAACTTGCCGAAACCGGTTTGGCTCAGTGGATAGAGCGTCGGCCTGCGGACTGAAGGGTCCCAGGTTCGATTCCGGTCAAGGGCATGTACCTGGGTTGCAGGCACATCCCCAGTGGGAGATGTGCAGGAGGCAGCTGATCAATGTTTCTCTCTCATCGATGTTTCTAACTCTCTCTCTCCCTTCCTCTCTGTGGAAAATCAATAAAATATATTTAAAAAAGAAAAACCCTAACTTAACTCTGGTGCTGTGTCACATATAGAAACTTTGATATTTGCAACCATAGTAAAACAAAGATGTATATTTTTGATATTTATTTTATATATTTAAATGCCATTTAACAAAGAAAAATCAACCAAAAAAATGAGTTCGCATGTCAGAGGTGACATAGGTGTTGGGTGTCATAGGTTCGCCATCACTGCCCTAGCTGGTTTGGCTCAGTGGCTAGAACATCGCAGACCGAAGGGTCCGGGTTCAATTCCAGTCAAAGGCATGTACCTAGGTTGCAGGCTCCTCCCTGGCCCGGGCCCTGTGCAGGAGGCAACCAATCGATATGTTTCCCTTCAAATTTCTCTTTTTCTCTCTCTAAAAAATCAATGGAAAAATACCTTCGGGTGAGGATTTAAAAAATAAAATGTTATGTGGATCAAACAATACATACAAGCCAGATCCAGCTGTGTGGCCTGTGGTCTACTCTGACCCTTGCTCAGGGTGTTTTCGATTTACCCAAGGTCTGTGGGGAGGTGAACGTACTGTCCTGGGGCCTGACAGACCTGGGTTGGAGTCATCTTCACCGCTTCCAGCTGTGCGATCTCGGGCACCCTGAGCATCCCTGGGCGGAGGTCCCCGCCTCAGGGCGAGCGTGGTGCTGGTGGGGGGGGGTGCCGGTGGTCAGCGCTGAGCTCTGCGCAGTGCAGGGCCAGGGCTTAACCAGCCGTAGGTCTCGTCTCTTCCTCACGTGGTTGGTTAGTGGAGTGGGGCCTTATTTCAAGACTTCCCTGTCACACTTAGGCCACCCTGGTAAAATCGACAGGGGGGTGTCTTGGGTTCTTTCCCATCAAGTCATTCAGCGAATGTGCGAGTGTCGGCATGCTGCGTGTGCAGAACTGACACCCCCACTCTGTGCTGTGCCCGAGCCCAACTTTGCTTCTAGGGAGGTGCCGAAAGCAGAGATGGCAGAGCCTAAACAGAGCTGGGCTGCTCTGTGAAATGGGCTCCTCTGAGGGTTAGTAGGATAATGGGTGCTACCCTCCGGGGTGGGAAACAGCTCCCCTCGGCTCCTTCTCAGCTCTACCCGCCGGCTCACCGGTCCCACCTCCGTGTGCCGTCTGCCGGGGAAAGTGCTCAGCAGGGTCTGGGGACGCCCTGGGAGCTGCAGTGATTTGGGCTCTTCTTACGCATTGTGAGCTGTTGTCTGGACATTGATGAGCACAGATTGTGGGCCGGGCACTGTTTTGGGCCCTGAAGATAGTGATGACTCCGCTGGCAAACTCCTGCCCTCGTGGAGCTTAGTGGGAAGACAGATCTAAGCCAGGGGTAGCTGAGCGGTGGTGGTGGAGTGATTGCGCTGACGGCACAGGAGTAGGTTGTGGCCGCTGGGGCAGGAGTACATGGGTGGTTTGAGGAGCACGTGGAGGCAAGCGGGGAGCAGCTGGCGGTGGGAAATGGGGCTGCAACCAGAGAAAGGACTCAGAGGAAGATGAGGGTATCAGCAGGTTTCTGGGTTGCTCAGGTGGCTGGGGTGAGAGTAGGCTGAGTGCAGGTGGAGGCAAGGAGACCTGAGATGGGAGCTTCGCAGTCAGCTCAGCAGGAGGCGGGAGAGGTCAAGTAGTGAGAAGGGTCTGCGTGGATTGGGTGTGGTGTGAGGGAGATGTCGGCAAGGACCGTGAGGCTTTTAGCTGAAAGGGAGTGCAGTTGATGGAGGGGAAGGCCGAGAGGAGCAGGCTCGCGGGGAGGTCAGGACCTGCCTTGCCAGGCAGTTCAGAGGAGGCGTAGATGAGGCGGTGGGATGTGTGAGCTGAAATTGGAGTTCAAGCCTGAGATAGGGCAGGCGAAGAGTTCCATTAAGGCTATTTAAACCCCAAGGTTGATGACATCAAGAGAGTTGACAAGTGGAAGCTGTCCCAGGCCTGAGCAGGGTTGTGCCATGCGCATGACAGTCACTGTGGATGGACATGTGTTGTGACCATCTTCTGGCAGGTGACATGCCATGTCTTGAAGGGTGTTGTGGTTTGGTGGTGACCCTGACCATCACAGGTTAGAGGGACGAGGAGGCGTGGCAGTGAGGTCTGAGGACAAGGAGAGGGTGGGAAGGGAAGTGTGGAGGTGTCTTGGGGGGCCCGTTTAAGGAGAGTGGAGAAGTATGAAGTAGCCATTAGGGAGCAGGGGAGGGTGTCCAAGCCAGGGAGTGAGGCCTGTTTGCCAGGCAGCACTATGGCCCACTTGTGGGGGCAGGTTTGAGTGACAGAAGAAAGTCCATGGCGTTTGGGTAGGAAACGGGAAGACTGTACACGGAGGTGGTACCTGTGAGCCGCCGGGTAGAGTTGAGAAGGAGCCGAGGGGAGCTGTCTCCCACCCCGGCCGGGGGGTGTGTACCCCGACCCGAACCAGTTTGCCTGGTCTCCTGGTTTGAAAGCCTGATCCCGGGACAGCTGCACTGGCCCAGGACGGAGCCACTCGCTCCTTGTTATGGAGACAGCCCTGCAGGCCCAGGCACTCGGGTACTGGAGGTAGAGCCTGTGCGGCCAGTGGCTAGTGACTGCTTTGGTGACTCATGCAACCAGTGTGGACATCCGTCGTGGCTCCCGAGGCTTTGGGGGCTCTGGGCAGTGGGTCACCACGGGACTCCGCCACCAGCGTCAGCGGCCACGGCTGGCAGGTGGCTGCTTGGAGCTCAGGTGCCACTGCTGTGGTGTGGCCCTTGTTGGGCGGTTCCTGGCCTGCCCTGGTTCTGGCCGACGTTGATGGGCACGGGTGGGCGGGGCTGCCTTTCTGCAGGACCTCCACAAAAAGTACTCGTACATCCGCAAGACCAGGCCCGACGGGAACTGCTTCTACCGAGCCTTCGGCTTCTCGCACCTGGAGGCGCTGCTGGATGACAGCAAGGAGTTGCAGAGGTGAGGAGGGTGGGCGCCCTGGCACTGAAGGAGGTGGGTGAGGGGCATGTGGGGCCCCCTCCTCCTTGATGACTAGGAGGTACAGTTCCACCCGAGGCCAGACAAGAGGCTGCGCCCCTACTCTGTTGACTGAGGGGCCCATGCCCCCTCCCTTCCCCTCCTGCCACCAGGTTCAAGGCTGTGTCTGCCAAGAGCAAAGAAGACCTGGTGTCCCAGGGCTTCACCGAGTTCACAATTGAGGATTTCCACAACACGGTGAGCCCAGTCCTCACTGCCTGTCGGCCAGAGTGGAGGTGGGTGGCCTGGCCGCGGCCGGGTTGACCCATCTCCTCCCTCATCTTGTCTGTCTCTCTTCCGGTGGCAGTTCATGGACCTGATCGAGCAGGTGGAGAAGCAGACCTCAGTAGCCGACCTGCTGGCTTCCTTCAACGACCAGAGCACCTCGGACTACCTGGTGGTCTACCTGCGGCTGCTCACCTCTGGCTACCTGCAGCGGGAGAGCAAGTTCTTCGAGCACTTCATTGAGGGTGGGCGGACGGTCAAGGAGTTCTGCCAGCAGGTGCCACCCCCGCCTCACTTCTCAGATTCAGGGCCCTCCCTTTTTTTTCCTCTCGGGGTGGGGAGCGCCGGGGCCTGGGGGAGTGCCTGGGGTCAGTGGGGGCATGGGGCGGGGTGCTGAGACCCGGGCCCTGACCTGCACCCGTGCTGCAGGAGGTGGAGCCCATGTGCAAGGAGAGCGACCACATCCACATCATCGCGCTGGCCCAGGCCCTCAACGTCTCCATCCAGGTGGAGTACATGGACCGCGGCGAGGGCGGCACCACCAACCCGCACATCTTCCCCGAGGGCTCCGAGCCCAAGGTCTACCTTCTCTACCGGCCTGGACACTACGACATCCTCTACAAATAGGGCTGGCTCTGCCCGCCGCTGCCCTGCTGCCCTCCCCTCTGCCAGGCACTAGACATGTACAGAGGTTTTTGTGTGGTTGTAAATGGTCATATTTCACTCCCCCTTCCCTGTCATACAACCTTCCACGTTTTATTAAAGGGGATGCTGGTGGTGAGCCCTGTGTGCGTGTCCCTGCTCTGCTGCTGCCCGCCTGGATGCTCTGTGTCTGGCTGACCCCTCCCCCAGGTGGGTTCCTCTCAGCCTTTCACCTGTCTGCCCCCCAAGCCTCCCCAGCAGTTTTGAGGGGCTACGCCTCTTGGGGCCTCCTCCTGTTTATTGGGATTCTGCTTCCTTCGTGCCTCCCTCCCCTCCTTAGCTGGCCCAAGAAGTTCCTTGGGGACTTACCAGGGGCCTAGGACCATCAAGGCTTCAAGCTGCCCCCTCATAGGTCCACCTCCGTCCTGCCGTCTTGGCCAGGGCCCCAGACCCCAGCTGCCTGCTTTCCATCAGGGGTCTGCATGTCGGAGCACTGGGTGGAGAGGCCGACACGATGGTGGGACCTGGCTCAGTAGGCGGAGGAGCTAGGGTACCTCTAGTGCACCCCAGGTGACCCCACCCTGGTAGGGGCGGGCAGCCTTCACGCCTCTGCTTGGTCAGGTCCCCAGGCAGGACTTGCCAGGCTGCCACCCCCCTGCCCACCCCAGGCCCCCTGCCTGTGCCTGCTTTGCACCCCCTTTGCTTCAGCCACGGTGTCTGCATTGCTTGCCTTTTTGCCTTGACTTCCTTTCCTCCCCCACCCCAGCACATGTGGGGGCTGAATCCCCAGGCTGTGAACTCCTCGGGGGGCAGGCCCTCAATAAATGTGAAGTACTGCCCACGCCTGCCATCGCCTGGCCCTGAACTCTCACAGCCCCTCTGAGCCACAGCACCCGCCGGCACCTGTGGGTGACCTCCCTCCCCAGTCAGGGCGCAGACAGCGGAGCTGCAACAGGGCGGTCTTTATTAGGAGGTTCCTGAGGGGCAGGGGCTGAGGGAAAAGACGGGGTGACCAGGCCCAGCTGCCGGCTTCAGCCGCCTCTTAGAGCTGGGAGCGAGGTCCAGCAGGCCCCGGCGGCGAGTCTGCGGGCAGAGCACACAGGTTGGAGGGAGCGGTGGGGGTGGGCTTCTCAGGCCGCCTCTCTGTGGGTGAGCATCAGGGGGAGCGGGCGTGTTAGTGGCAGGTTAGTGGCAGCACACAGCAGGCCAGGCCCTGCTTACCGGTCCTGGTCAGGGTGTGCCGGGTGCCGTCAGGCTGGAAGGCAGAGGACACTGAGAACTGGCCCAGGGGGTGGGGGTGGGGATGGGGGGGTGGGGGTGGGCCCTGCCCTAGGCACCTACCCAGGGGGAAGTAGTGCGGCAGCCGCTGCAGGTAGATGTTCTCGTCCTTCTCCAGAAACACACAGATGATGAGCCGGTCCACCTGCGCCAGGGCCTGATGAGCCTCGCAGGAGCCGCTGCCTGGCTCCCAGGCCTGGTCCCTGTCCCCCCTGCCCCTTTGGGACGCCCTTCAAGTGAGGCTACACCTTCACAGAAGGGGTTCGTGGTGTGTGAAGGGAAGGAGAGGGGAAGCAGGAAGGGCTGGTGTGGCCAGAGACTGTGGGCAGGTGCTCTGCACCCTGGCCATTGGCAATGACAGATGGGGCTGGTTAGTGGGACCGGGATGCACCCCCTCACCCCACCCCTTCAGGCCCCCTCGGCTGGGCCCGGCCTCACCTTGTCCTTGTGCTGCTCCAGCCACTCGCGCAGCGCAGCCAGCACTACCTCCGCCGCCGCCTCGTTGGGGTAGCCTGGGGACCCCGAGAAAGCGAGTCCCGGTTCTGCCCTGCCCCCTTGCCGCTCTGCCACCCGTTCAGCTCCCACTGCCTGCCCCGACCCCACTCACCAAACACGCCGGTGGAGATGCAGGGAAACGCCTGGGAGGGGAGGGGGGGGGAGGGATAGCGTCACTCTCCGCCACGCCCCTCCTGGCGCCCAGCTGCTCAGGCCGCCCCCGCCCCGCCCCACCCCTGGCGCCCGCCCCTCCCCTCCCGCCCCCGGCGCCCTCACCGCCGAGCGGAGCCGGTGCTCCTAGCAGCAGGTCGAGGCTGCTCAGAGTAGCAGCTGCGGAGCTCGAGGGCCTTGCTGGCGCTGGGCTCTCCGTGGGCGATGGGCCCCACCGTGTGATTGATATCTGCGGGGGCGACCGGGCCAGGCCCGCCAGGTCTCCCTGTGCCCTCGG